GCGATTCTCCTCCCATTCGTCCTTCCCTCCCTCGCCTTCCGCCTCCTCCGCCTCCGTTCTCGTGTGTGCTGTTTGTTGAGATTCCCACCGGAATCGTGAAGTCTGAATTCTGGTGGGGGGGCCTCGTTTTGTCCGCCGCCCGCCTCCCCTGGGGGCCGCACGCCTTCGTCGTCGTCGTCGGTCGTCGTCGTTGTCGTCATCGTCAGTCGTCGTCGTTGTCGTCGTCGTCGTCGTTGTCGTCGTCGTCGTCGGGGGGTGGTCCCCTGCCTTCTTGGGCTTGTGGCCCCCCTGGGGGGGCGTCTTCGGCAGCGACCGCGTTTTCGGCTGCGTGCATCTGGAGACGCGCTGTGCGGATGATCGGTCGGCTCTGTCCCAGCCGCGTGGCCGATAAGCCGCGTGCACTGCAGTGCAGCAGGGGCGCAATTTCTACCCCTCAAGTTTGAGCTGGTAGGCCTCCCGGTGCCACTTGAGCTCAAACTTGACCCCAAGTTTGAGCTGGCAGGGCTCCCGGTGCCACATCAAGTGCCGCATTTCACTCCGTGGTTCCCCCGCCTCCGCCTTGCTCCCCCCCCTTGGCCTTGCCCCCTCTCTAGTCGTTGATCTCGTGAGCCTGGTCCGCCCCTCGTTTTCAGTTGTTGTTTCAGTCGTTGCGTACCCGCCGCTATGGTGCTCGTTGGGATTTTAAGTTCACGTGATCTCTCACGAAGCTTGGGCCCAGTTAGTTGTTTAACTTTGTATACTTTTGTTGTCGCGTCGTTTTGCTTCGTCCTCTTCTCCTCTCTTGACTCCTGTTGTTTGGGATTTTCGGACGACTAGGCCATTCAGTAAGGGGATTGCCACACAACGCTTCGGCTGGCCAGGGGAAGATACGCTGCCAGGCAAATCCGTATCATTGGCGATCTGGCTTCTCTCCCTCCACCTCTCCTTTTTCCTCCTCCTCTTTGTTTGTGGTGACGTTTACCTGGCCCACCCTTCTCGAGCTTTGCCGCTAAATATAAAGTCCTGGGACTTCAGCACCGCGAGTCCACGTGACGGTGACGTCTTGACAGCCCGAAGTTGTGCAGGAGCACCGTTCTTGCGACTTCAACCGCACGAGTATGTGAAACATTTGTAAACGTTCAAGAATGCGCGCGGCGTTAGGGCGAGAACCACTTTGTGAAAAGGAGCCGCCCCCAATCCCTGAATGTGTTGTAAATTTTTAGGACGAATGATGCGCGCGGCGCGAAGGCGAGAGCCACATTGCGAAAACGTACGGGCCTCCACCTTTGAAATTCATGCAAGTGTTTAAGACGAATGCGCGCGGCTCTAATGCAAGAGCCACAGTTTCAAAACTACCCGCCCTCCACCCTTGAAACTGTTACCACTTTCAAGTTTCACGATCATAAATGATCAGAAATTATCAGGCGGATCGCTCTGCCCGCTGGAGTTAGTTCGGAAAAGAAATGGAGGAGTGGGAGAAAAGAGACGAGGATACGGATGAAATGATAACACGTTACGAGTAGGACGGGTAGGAGGGATGAGGCGAAGGTACAGTAGGAGGCGGTTGAATAAGTGGAAAGGATGAGGAGATGGAGGAACGTGATCCAACCAACGAACTGTTCGAAAAGCCATGGATGATTCTTCCGACGGCCTCCTGTATCCCGTGGTCCCTCCCCCTCCTTCCCATCTCACCTCCCCTTCCGCCTTTCTCTCCCTTCCTTTAGTCCATCCTTGTCCCATCCACCGTCTTCGTTCTCTTCTCATCCACCCCAATCCGCCTCCTTTCGATTCCTCCACCCCTCATCACTCTCCCAACTCCGGGCGGTCTGGTGGTCAGGCAGTGCCGCCTCGGAGCCTTTCGTGGTGCGCGAGCAGGCGGAGGAGCATTGATCGGCACAGGGGGGGATTTGGGCAGGCGCAGGGATATTAATGAGGATGTGAACAGAGGGCTGTGGATGAGGAGGGAGACGATAGGCAGGCGTTGCAATTTGATTGATTGTTGTTTCTAACGCCCTTGTGCCCTTGTTTCTAACAGCGGTTACGAGTTCCGGCGGCGGTTTGACTTCTTCACGAGTTTGTCAGAATTCGTTTCCACAAGATCCGCTCATGGACCCAAGCTTGTGTTAGGAGACATGAATGCAAAGTTGTATGGCCAACTCGATGGAGAGAGTGACGCGGTGGGGCCCTATATTTTCAAACACCCCCACCAGACGTGCAAGGAAAACGCCAACCGGCACCTCATGGTTGAGATGTGCGAGAATCTGAACATGTGCGTTGCAAACACATTTTTTGACGTGCCGGATCACAACCTTGTCACTAACTACAACGTGGGTACGCCTGCCGGGCTACAAATTGGATCCTCGACGCACTCGCAGATCGATTTCGTACTCTGCGAGAGGACTTTTCTCCGGGACATCACTGGCGTGGCTGCTAGGCACGACGTGCCGTTGTCGACCCATCATTTCTTGTTGACTGCGTGTGTCCGTATGTCAGTTGAGAAGACGGCGCCTGCGAGTCAGAGTCCACGCCTTGATGTCACAGCCCTCTCCGACCCACTCGCCGCTTGTTTTTTCAACGTGAACATGTTGAATGCTTTGGAGGGCTTCGAGGACACAGCAGCTGGAGGCGAGGATGTCGATCTTGGTTGGAGTCGTATCGTGGACGGTTTTCATCACGCTGCCGAACGCACGTTGCCATTCCTTCCGAGGCGGACCACAAGGCCGTGGACGAGCGCCGGAACGCTGGGGCTGATCGAGCGCCGCGGGAGCGCCAGAAGGCAGGGCGACACTGACGAGGAGAAGCGCCTATCGAAAAAAATCCGCGCTTCGGTTGCCAGGGACAAGGCCGCTTGGATCGAATCGGTCACGGAATCCGCTGATTGGAATCAGATTAGGAGGCTCCGGAAAGGCCCTGTCCGCAGACAGGGCAGGCTTCGTGACGTCAACAAGGGCATTGTGGAGACGGACCAGCGTGCTGAGACTCTGGCCGACTACCTCGAGAGGGTGCAGTGGGCAGTCAGACCCACGTCAGTGGCACCGCCAGTTGCTGCACGGATTGCCGACAACGACCTGCCCATCTCCATGGGTGATATCACAGTGGGGGAGGTGAAGGCCGCAGCTGCGAAATTGAAGCGAGGACGCGCTTCTGGCCTTGACGGGGTGCCACCCGAATTCTGGAAAGCAGCGGCGAGCGACGCGGGAGGTCTCCCGAGCTATCTGGCAAAATTCTACACCGACGTTTGGAGACAAGGTAAGATCCCAGAAGCTTGGAGGCATGCGAGGGTGTCGATGCTGTTCAAGAAGGGCGACCCTGCAGAATGCGAGAACTACCGCCCCATCAGTATCTCGCCCATCGGCTACAAATTGTTCGCAACCATCCTGCTCCAGAGGCTGAAGCAGGCGGGGGCCGAAGACCGCATCTGGCGAACCCAATTCGGGTTCCGCTCCGGGCGGGGCACGGCAGACGCAGTGTTCCTAGCCCGCCGGGTGCTGGACGACACATGGTCAACACGAGATGCAAGTCGCTTGTTCCTGGCACTCGACTGGGCCAAGGCATTCGACTCGGTCTCGCCGGACGCGCTCGCCGGGTCTTTGCGGAGATTTGGTTGCCCAGAAGTTTTCGTGGACGTCGTCGTGTCGATTTACAGCGAGCGCAACTTCGTCGTGAGGGACTTCGGGGCCACGTCCAGCATCCATCAGCAGAGGTACGGCATATGCCAAGGCTGTCCGCTGTCCCCTTTTCTGTTCACCATTGTGATGACGACGCTTCTCACGGACGCGCACGCGCTGCTTCAGAGTCGTGCCGGACCGATACCTGAAAACCAGTTTGCGAGGGAGCTCGTGTACGCGGACGACACGTTGCTCATAGACTCCGACCCAGCCCTCGTTCAAGAGCTGATGCGCTGCATTGAGGAGTGCGGGGGCCAGTGCGGGCTGCAGTTCAATTGGGGCAAGTTGGAACTTATGAAAGTAAGGACCGAAGCTGATATTTTGGGACGCAACGAGGTCCCCATCCCAGCCAAGCAATCATTAACTTATCTCGGGACGTCTCTTGCTTCGGACGGGCGCATAGGCACAGAACTGAGTCGGAGAATTGGGGCGGCCAGAAGTGACTTCAAGGTGCTTGCAAGAATATGGTCGCATTCGACTTTGAGTAGGAGACAGAAACTACGTATATTTAATGCTTGCGTTGTTTCCAAACTCACGTATGTATTATTCACTGCGTGTCTTAACCAGGCCGAGCGAAGACGGCTCGACGGGTTCCAGAATTATTGTCTCAGACGTATTTGCAGAGTCTCTCCGTCGTACATCAGTCGGGTGTCGAACCGTGCAGTTCTGCAGATCAGCCAACAGACGCCTCTGAGCCATAGTCTTGCGCGTAGACAGATGTTGTACATGGGCCATTTGGCGAGAAGACCAGACGAAGATCCAGTCAGAAGCTCGGTGTTTGAGCCGGGCGGTCTGGTTCTCAAGAGCCTTCTTGGGAAAAGGAGAAGAGGCCGCCCGAGACAGTCTTGGGGGCCCATGGTGCTGAAGAACTGCTTGAATGTTGCCGGCTCCCATGAGCGACTTGCTGATTACTTCCGCCGAGAGGGCGGTGCAGCTCGCAGGTGGGAGCAGGCGGTCAAAGCATGGGCGGCGTGCTGAAGGCATCCGTTTCCGTGCACATTTTCACCCATTGCTCACGCGCTGTGGCCGGCGCAAGGCTTCTGTTCTGTTCTGTTCTGTGCCTGGCACTCTATGTCTCTATGTGCCCTCTGTTTGTCCCCGCCGCCAACCCCGCCTTCAGCCTCGCAAGCGCTCTTCCGTTGCCGTCTTTTTTTCTGATTTTGTCGCATTTCGCCTTTTGGAAACGATTGGTCCCGGTTGGGCAACACCGAGAGTACCCATGCCTTGGCGCGATCTGGGCGTTGCGCATTCTAATATACCGTCTTTGTGCCTGACTTTGGCTGTATCACATGTCGTTCTTCTCCACCTACTCAATTTGCCTCCTCCTCCCCCCTTCCCTCCTTCCCCCGGCAGGACGGAAATTGCCTCTTCCGTTCCTTCTCCGACCAGCTCTACGGCACGCCAGAGCACCATGCGCTCGTGCGGGACCGGTGTTCGAAGCACCCTTGGGCAGAACAGACCAAGCGCGAAGCCCTTGTTGGAACAGGGGGGCCCTGTTGACAAAGCCCATGACGTCGTCGTAGGAGGACGACGAGGATGGGGATACAAATGGAGCGGAGAAGTGTAGCAGAAGGTGGAGAACGAGGGCAGAAGAGAACAGAAGAGGGCAGAAGAGGGCGGAGGGGGACGAGGGGCAGGAGGAGGAGGAGGAGGAGGAGAAGGAGGAGTAGGCGGTCGTCCACTTCCAGGACTCAAAGTCGATTGAAACGAGCATACAACTTTCATTTGTGCGGCTCTACAGGAGCCCAAAAGTCAGCTTCGAAGTCTTGTTGAGCCTCGGAGCCTCTTTCTGTATAGTGTCCTTCCTGGGGAGCTTCGGCGAGATTGCCGTCGTCGGAAACTGCCAATTGTGCACCTTTTCCCTCGCCCTTCTTGTCCTGTCCTTGACGTGATGGCTCAAATCCTTTCCAAGCCGAAAAGAAGGAAGGGTGAGAAGCCAGATGAGGAATAGGAAGAGGGAGAGGAGGAGGAGGAGGAGGTGGAGGAGGAGGAGGATAATTCCGAGCCAACGAAGGGCCTTGCCAGGATTAGCGTCAGTATCGAAGACGCCCCCAGCGAATCACTGCCACCCCTTGCCTTCTTGGCAACGCTTGTGTGGTGAAATGTCGAGCAAAGGTGCGGCCATCCTAGAGGTCTGGCCGTCCCCCCAGCGCTCGGGGGCACCACTGGAGAAACACTGACAAGGGGCCATCTGCAGTCATCTTGAGGCTCTTTTCGGCGGCTTCTTGGGGGCCTCTTGGGGCTCCGCTGGGCCACCCTAGAGCCCTCTTGGGCCGTCTCAGGGAACTCGGGCTGCCTGGTGCCTTCGAAAACCGTCTTGGGGGCCCATCTGGACCCTCTTGGTGGCCTCGTGGGCCGTCTTGGGTTTTCGGGAGCACGAAAAGGCGAGAACGTGAAAATAAGGTTTCAATCAAGTACGGAAAGGAAATCGATGCTGACTTCCTCGGAGGCTCCTGGAGACTCTTCTTCGGCCCTCTCGGGGCGTCGTGGAGGCCGTCTTGAGGTAATCCAGTGCCGTCTTGGGGCCACCCGGGCCGTCTTGGAGCCATCTTGGCTTACGTCGGGACTGTCCCCCTACAGGGGAATTGTCGATGAAAAATAAAAATACCCCAAACATGCACCAACATTGTCAAAACATATTAAACAATACTCCCCAGACAATTTTTGTATTATGCTTGGGGATTTTTTTATTTTTCGTCGAAAATCCCCCTGTGTGGGGACAGGCCCGACTTAAATCTTGCGGCCGGACTCGGCTCGACTCGCGCGGAGCCCCGTCGGCGGGGTGGCCCCCGCGGGGAGCGGGCTGGGCCTGGGCCCGTGCGCCCCCCTTTGCGGCCTCCCTTCCTCTCCCGCTCCTTCTCGTGTCCCCCCCTGCCTCTCACGGGAGGGACAACCACCCGGACCCGACAGTTGGCGTTCACTGAGCGGTCTTGGGCGTTCACTAGACAGCCCTGCCCTGTTTGATCCCTCCTTTGGGTGCGCTCGCTGAACGGCTTCGCCTGTCGGGGTGGGTGTTACCGGGATGGATGTTCCGCCCTCTGGCCTTGGGTCTTTCCCTTTTGCGGCCTTGGGGGTCTGGGGTGTTTGATTCCTTCTGTGGGTGCGTTTACTAAACGGCTTCGCGTGTCGGGGTGGTAATTCTCGGGGTGGATTTTCGGCCTTCTGGGCTTGGGTCTTTCCCTTTTGCGGCCTTGGGGGTCTGAGGGTTCCTCGTCGCCGCCGTCTCCGTCCAGCTCTGTCTGCCCATCCTCCTTAGCATGGGAGCTGCGTGATACTGTGCGTCCTGCTCCCGTCTCCTCTTTCCTCCCCTCCTCCTAATCATTATCGCCAGTTGTTGTTTACGTTTGGAAGGTGGCGTCATGAAAGCCACTGGACGGTCTCTGCTGCGTTTTACCACGGAGTTCACAGTTTTGCCGTGAGGTGTTGCACTCACGTTTCTCCTCTAGTTCCGTCTTCTCCTTCTCCCAAACAACAGATGTTTTGTATAGGCATCTCGGTTTTCCGACGGACTGACCGAGGAGGAAGATGGTCAAGGGTGTCGATGTAGGACGCGGGTAACGTATTACCATTTTCGTGCCGTAACATTGGAACAGGTGGAAGCCACATCCACCGACAGGCGAAGAGTAGGGGGAATCCACACACACACCGACAGGCGAAAGCAAGGCAGGAAGGATCCTGCCCCCCACAAGCGGAAGCCGCACCTGCCGACGCGCCACGGCCGTCGTTTTTTTCATGACGCGAGAGCAGGTGGAAGCCGCACCCGCCGACAGGCGAAGGGACAACAGGTGGGAGCCATGACCACCGACAGGCGAACGGCCAGGTGGAAGCCACACCCACCGGACAGGCCGGGGTGACCGCCCAGGTTGGGCCCGCGGCCCGCCCATCCCGTCGGGTGGTCAGCGGCAGCACTTCACTGAGGTGGTTGGGCTTTTGTATGGACAACCATCTCGTGTTGGGGGGGAACCAGGTGGAAGCCACCCACACCTTGGGTGTTGCTAGAAGTGCCCCTGGCCCAAGGTGCCCCCAGGACTTCCAAGGAGGCCCCCACGGCCTCCAGAGCATCCCTCGCGAGGCCCAGAGGGCCCCAGGGGCCCCAACATTGAGCGAAAAGCTGGGGGTACCTTGGGCCAGGGGCACCTTCAGCAACCCCCGAACACCCACCGACAGGCGAACGGAAGAATAGGCGGAAGCCACGCCCACCGACAGGCGAAGAGACCAGGCAGAAGTCACGCCCACCGACGGGCGAAAGGGGACCGGGCGGAAGCCGCACCCACCGGCAGGCAGAGCTCGGAGAGGGGCCGCCCCACGACTGTGAAGCACGCCGGTCACCCCCTGACGGGTGGAAGCCACGCCCACCGCCAGCCGCCCAGGTGCGGCCTGCGGTTCACCCACCCTGACGGGTGGTCAGCAGTGCAGTCGGCCCGGGTTGGTAGGTCGGCCCTGCCAAGTCAAGGGTACCTTTTGTGTCCTGCGTCTCGCGACCCGTGCCTCCCGCATTCCTGTGGCGACGTGGCCCTCGGAATAGTCTTTTGTCCTCTCGCGTGTCCTGTCCAATGAAGTCCGACTGTAGCACTTCCTGAGGCGGCTGGGGCCCTCTTCCTCCTCCTCCGCCTCCTCCTCCTCCTCATCCTCGTGGGGGAGCGAGCTTCTGGGCCCTCTGCTGAACAGCCGCCTCGTGCGCTTGGACGGGTGGAGGCCACGCCCGCCGACGGGCGAAGCCGAGGCACATGTCATCCTGGACCTCCGGGGCTGCCACACAGGGGACGGGCCGGCGGCCCGCCCATCCCGACGGGGGGTCAGCAGCAGCAGTAAGTCGGGCCCGTCCCTCTACAGGGGGAAAAGTACAAGATAGTAGAATGATAGTCTGGGGACGATTTATTGGAGCATTGTTTCACCATTTTGGTGTATTTTTGTTACTATTTTTTGTTTTCGTCCAACATCCCCCTGTAGGAGGACAAACCCGACTTAAAAGCAGCATTTCCTGAGGTGGTTGGGCCTTGGTCTGAGCAGCCACCTCGTGTTGGGGGGAGGGCGGGTGGAAGCCACACTTCCGACAGGCCAAAAGAAACCGTCGATTGGCACGATGTGGACAGGTGGAAGCCGCACCCTCCGACAAGCGAGGGAAGAACAGTGGAAACCACACCCACCGACAGGCGAACGAGTCAGGTGGAAGCCGCACCCACCGACAGGCGAATGTATAGGTGGAAGCTACGCCCACCGACAACAGATGGAAGCCACACCCACCGACAGGCGAAGCAAGGCAGGAAGGATTCTGCCCCTCCAAGTGGAAGCCACACCCACCGACAAGCGAAGTGAAGCCAGGTGGAAGCCACACCCACCGACGCGCTAAAGCAGTCGTTTTCCACGACGCGAGAGCAGGTGGAAGCCGCACCCACCGACAGGCGAAGGGATAACAGGTGGGAACCACACCCACCGACAGGCGAATGGCCAGGTGGAAGTCACACCCACCAACAGGCCGGGGTGACCACCCAGGTGCGGCTTGCGGCTCGCCCATCCCGACAGGTGGTCAGCAGCAGCTCTTTTTGAGGTGGTTTGTCCGTGGTCTGAGCGACCACCTCGTGCAGGGGGGGAAAACAGGTGGAAGCCACACCCACCGACAGGCGAAAGGACGAACAGGTGGAAGCCACACCAACCGACAGGCGAAGAGACAGGTGAAAGCCACACCCACCGACAGGCGAAATGAAGCCGTCGTTTCCCACGACGCGAGAGAACAGGTGGCAGCCACACCAACCATCAGGCGAAGCCCTGGGCGCCCGCGACTGTGAAGCACGCCGGCCGAGGAGGAGGAGGGGGAGGAGGAGGACGAGGACGAGGAGCAGGAGGAGGAGGTCCAGTGCAAACCCAAGGCTCATCAACGATGTTGCCCTCCAAGCGCCCTCTCCATATGCCCCATAGAAGGGTTCATTTCCACTGAGGGAAGCGCCCCGTTGGGGGGCAACCGTGTGAACACCCGGAAGCGTTCCAAACCACCACCTCTCAGAACCTCAATGTCACGAGTCAGTAAACCTGTTCGTTGCGTCTTGACGCTCCTGAATCGTGTCAGAAAACCATTCTTGGGACTTCAGCAATGCCAACCAGCGGAACTGTTGCGCATTTTCTGGTAATTACGTGAACCATGAGAACAAGTGAAACCTTTGCAAAGTTGTAAAACGAAACTGCGCGGCGCCAAGGCGAGAACCACATGTTCAAAGGGAGCACCCCTCAAACCTTGAAACTCTTGCAATGTTTGGAGCGAATGTGTGTGGCGCTAAGGCGAGAGCCAATGCTTGAGAAGGAGCCGCCCTCAATTTGTGAAGTTCGGTTACAGTTTTAGAACGAATGCGCGCGGCGCAAAGGCGAGAGCCACACGTTGATAACATCCCGCCCTCAATCCGTGTAACTCTTGCATCGCTTCAAAACGAACGCACGCGGCGCTAAGGCGAGAAGCACATTTTGGAAGCGAGTTGTCCTCAGTCAACGAAGTTCTTGCAAAGTTTTGGAACGAATGTGCGCGGCGCATTTTGAAAACGGCCCACCCTCAACCATTCTTGCAAATGCTTTAAACGAATGCGCGCGGCGCTAAGGCGAGAGGCACATGTTGGAAGCGATCCGCCCTCCATCTGTGAAAATGGTACTACCTTTTAGGCTTGAGGCACATACATTGTAAAGAAGTCTCAGGCGAAACGCCCTGACCGCCCTTCCGACTTGCCTCGGGGTGCGACAGGGAGGAGTTATTTAGGAGGACAAGGAATGGAGGAGGAGGACTGGGAGAGGGATGGGGGATGGTACTGATAATGAGGAGGGGGCCTCTTGGGGCCCTCTTCGGGTGCCTTCTGGGGGGCGACCGGGGCCTCTTGGGCGGCGGCTATGGTGGGCTCTCCTTCTTCCTCCGGATCATACTCATATTCTGACCGTCTTGGCTTCCTTCTTCCTACCTTTTAACGTTCCTGATTCTTCCCTTCTCCTCACTCATCTCTCATCCGTCCTCCTCAGTCGCACGGCGACCATCGAGACATCGGGCCCGCCAGTCTGCGGTCCAAAGACGGGCCAAGCAAACACTGGTCGCAGTACGACCGGCCGTCACGCTTACCCCCTGGTTGGTTGGCCACCCCAAGGGCCAGGGGTGCCAGGAACATCCCACATAACCGCCCCAACCCCGAAGAAAACCTAAAGTGTTCGTTGTGTGTGCATATTGATTGCTTAATCGAGGTTGCTCTGCTCTGTAAGTCTCTCCTCCCCCCCTCTCGCCGGATTCTCCTGGGCAGCCCGCGCAAGTGTTCCAGCCCAGCGAGGCATATTTCCTAGGGCGGTCGCACTTTGACCTGCGCCGCTAATGTGAAAACTCGTCGCTGGGGGGAAGGGCGCGAGACGTTGCGATGCGGAGGAGTGTGCAAGACGAATGCTTTGAAGCGGGCTCGGGTCTGAGCGGACAGCAGTTCGGGGAGGGACGAGAGACAGATTTGCACACACAAGGAGTATTTTGGTGCGCACGCGGCGGTGAAGAGACGTGTATACACTCATTTCAGAATCCTGGGCCAGCAAGGAAGTTTTGTGGAGGGGGGCGTGCAGGGAAGAAACGGTGAGGGTAGTTTCTTTTGTTGGTACGACGCTACTCTGCGCCGCTCTGATTTGACAAGGTACATCGCCAGCGAGCGGGACTATTTCGAGCAGTTTGTGACCGAGCCGTTCGAGCAGTTCTTGGCCCGGATACAACGAGAGGCTTGGCAACCTGTACCGTGAATGAGCGTGGAAAGTATGAATTTCGACGAGATGGGGACGACAGCGGGGAATTATCCTGGCAAGGGACCCAACCATGTGCAGTTTTGAGTGACGTAGTTGTGGGTATCGATCTCGGTGAACCTCTCTGGGATCACGACACGTGTGACGGGTGTGCCAACATTGAAATTGGTACGCCATGCGGACGCTGCCACCGGAGCCGTCGGTAGAGAGCCATGTGAGGCCACGGAACGTGTGAGGGGTGAGCCCGAATGCAGGGTGGAACCGTGCGCGGGCGCTGCCACTACTAGGGCCTTCGGTGGAGCTCCTTATGAAATGGAGGTGGAACTGCGCGCGGACCCTACCACTGGGGCCTTCGGTGGAGCACCATATGGGGCCACGAAACGTGTGAGGGGTGCACCGGATTGGAGGTGGAACTGCATGCGGACCCTGCCACTGGCGCCTTCGGCGGAGCACCCCATGGGGCCACGAAACGTGTGAGGGGTGCTCCGAAATGGAGGTGGAGCTGCATGCGGACCCTGCCACTGGCGCCTTCGGCGGAGCTCCCTATGAGGCCACGCAGCGTGTGATGGGTGCTCCGAAATGGAGGTGGAACTGCATTCGGACCCTGCCACTGGGGCCTTGGGCGGGGCGCCCTATGGGGCCACGAAACGTGCGAGGGGTGCGCCGAATTGGAGGTGGAACTGCATGCGGACCCTGCCACTGGGGCCGTCGGTGGAGCTCCTTATGGGGCCACGGAACGTGTAAGGGACGCGCCGACATGGAGGTGGAATTGCGTGCGGGCCCTGCCACTGGGGCCTTCGGCGGAGCACCCTATGGGGCCACGAAACGTGCGAGGGGTGCGCCGAACTGGAGGTGGAACTGCATGCGGACCCTGCCACTGGCGCCTCCGGCGGAGCTCCCTATGAGGCCGCGAAACGTGTGAGGGGTGCTCCGAAATGGAGGTGGAACTGCATGCGGACCCTGCCACTGGGACCTTCGGTGGAGCTCCCTGTGGTGCCACGAACCGTGTGAGGGACGCTGCGCTGACGATGGCCATGGTGATGATCATGATGATGCGGATCATGACGATGGCGATGACGATGACGATGATGACGATGACGACGACGACGACGAGGCGGCTGGGAGGAGGCAGGAGGGGGAGGGGGGAGGGGGCAGCGGGAGGAGGCGAGACGCGGGGCGCTGCCTCTTCACAACGAGGACCCAACACCACAGCATGGTTGGGAAGAAAAACAGAGAAAGACGGGTATGCCTGAGTGGTGACTGGATGAAGGGGGGGAGGAGGGGGAGGAGGAGGAGGGGGGAGGACACTTAGGATGCTGGGCCTCGTTAGTTTCCACTGTCACTTGAATTCATCGCGGGCTGTCACGGGCGAGTTGGCGCGCATTTGGCGGGAAGCATTCCACGGAGTAGCTGCAGACCTTGAAAGTGGCCCGATTCCGTGCGAAATTGTGGAACGCACGCTTTGCTTTATCCAAATCGGTCGACCGTACTAGCCAATCATTGCCAGCCAAGAAGCGCCTCGGTTTACTTAGTCCAGGCTTCAGGTCGCCAGGTCGTTAGTCAACCTCGTGGCCGTGCCCCGTTTGCTGGCCTCCAGCTGCGTGCGGGAAATCACTACCACGAAGAAGAAAGGCCCCATCCAGTTCTCCACCCTCGCCAACACGCACCCAATAAAGATCATCGACGAGCAGGCCAGCGCACTTGGCGCGATTTGTCAGATCCCCGAGTGATCAGGGCAAGGCGTGGTCAGGGAAAAGAGCTGATTCGCGTATCCCGTCTGTCTGCTAGGTAAGGTATGTCCCCGAATGCATGTTCCTTCTGTTTTCCTGGATCAGCTTTTGCCGAGGTAAAGGTTTTGTTGTGGAGTGTTCCCAGGTTGCCCAGCCGGTGCCGGGGGGGGCATGGTTGTGGTAAGATCGAGTGCTGTCCGAAGGTCCCGCGCGTCGAGACATTCTCGATGAGCCGGCCCGTTTCGTTTGAGACATCCTTCCAAGTTCGTATCCCGAGATGACCAGATTTGAGATGGTCCGGCCCGTTTCGCTCGAGACATCCTCGCGATTCTGGGCGCCCAGATCTCGCGCGAGAGGTGGTCCGGCCCGTCTCGCTTGAAACATCCTGGAGAGTTTGGGTTCGGAGATGCCCTGGCCTGAGGTGGCCCCGCCCGTTTCGCTTGAGACATCCTCGCAGCTCTAGGCTTGGAGACGTCGCCCACGAGGTGATCTGGCCAGATTCGCATGAGACGTTCTCGTACCTCTGGGTACAAAGCTGCCGCGTGCGAGGTGGTCCGGCCAGTTTCGCATGAGACATCCTGGCAATTCTCAGCAATTGTCGAGGAGGAGTGCAACGAGAAGGAGGAGGATGAAGAGGAGGAGGAGGAGGAGGAGGAGCGTAGGTGAGGAGGAAGAGGAGGAAGATGAGGAGGAAGTAGAATGCTCGCACGACAGTTATACAAGTACTGTTGATATCGATGCTTTCGGGGCACTCCTCGTCGCGAGGGCTGGGCACGGTTCGATCGTGCCTTGTGACACGGGCCGGTGCTCTGCCGAGCAAGGGTGTTTCACGGGCCTGCTCGCGCCCACGCTGCGGGGGTGTCTCGAGCGGCCCGTTCGTTTTAGGGGATGGGCGTGGGTGTTATCAGAGCTGCGTCAGAGCCCCGAATCATCAGGGGTAACTCGGGTCAGGGATAACTCGGGTTCGCTTTTCGGGAATCCAAACCCGAGTTATCCCGGACCCGAGTTACCCCGGATGAATCGGGCGTCCAAGAGCCCCGAATCATCAGGGGTAACTCGGGTCAGGGATAACTCGGGTTCCTTTTTCGGGAATCCAAACCCGAGTTACCCCGGACCCGAGTTATCCCGGATAACTCGGGCGCCCAACTGCGTGCCGCTCGCTCGCCACTCTTGTTTGCTTTTGGGACTGTTCTGGACCTCTCCAGGGCGTCCCTTGGCTGGCGGAGGAGGAGGAGGGGGAGGAGGAGGAGAGGAGGAGGAGGGTTCCAGGATGCGGTGCGCGAGGTGTCCAGGCCCGTTGCGCTTGAGGCTTCCTCGGAGCCCTTGGCTCCAAGATGCCCTGACTTGAGGTGCTCCGGCCCGTTTCGCCTGAGATCCCCTCACGATTTTGCGTTCCAAGAAGCGTGCGGTTCGCGAGGTTCTTCGGCCCGTTCCCATGGAGGCATCTTCGGAACCCTTTCCGAGATGCCCTGACTTGAGGTGCTCCGTCCCATTCCGCCTGAGACATCCTCCCAGCTCTGGGTTCCTAGATGCGGTTCTCGAGGTGCTCAGGCCCGTTTCGCCTGAGACATTCTCGGAACCCCAGGCTCCGAGATGCCTTGACTTGAGGCACTCTGGCCCGTCTCGCCTGAGACATCTTGGGGTCCTCGGAACTCCGGGTCCGATCGCCAGGGCCGCGCGATTCGGGGGATGCCATCCCATCCCCTGGAAAGCTCTTGGCGGGGCTTGAGTCCAACCCAGTGGCTGAGACGGCGCATGTCTGGAGAAGCGCCCACAACGGTCGTCAAGTCGGCCCCAAGACTACGTTCGCTAAGGCAAAAGCAATCGTCAATTCAGCTCCAGCACTTCGTTGGTCAAGGCGAGAGGAGCCGTCAACTCGGCCCCGACACTTTGTTCGTCAAGACCGAGGTCGTTTTTAACCATCAGCTCGGCCCCGACGCTGTGTTCGTCAAGACGGAGGGGACGGCGAGGGGGGCCGTCAAGAGGGTTCGTCACCCCAGAGGGAGGCCGTCAAGGGGGTTCGTCAAGGGGGTTCGTCAACTTGGAGGGAGGCCGTCAAACGCGTTCGTCAACTCGGAGAGAGGCCGTCAAGGGCGTTCGTCAACTCGGAAGGAGGCCGTCAAGGGGGTTCGTCAATTCGGAGTTGACGGCTAACTCATTTCACTAGGATTAAGTTGACGGCTAAGTCTTTGCACTAAGATGGAGTTGACGGCTCAAGCGCCGGATAGAGTGTACATGGTCATCCGTCGTGGCGTCCAGGCCCACCTCCTGACCCGGGTGTTACGCTTGAAGGTGATATTGAGGGAGGTTTTGTTGGGGTTTCCCCCTGGTGACGGGGGAAGCCAGGGACCAAGAGGCCAGTAACAGAACGAACGGGAACTTGACATATGTATGTCTTCCAGCACTCTCTTTGTAAATGGGCTCTCCCAGATCATGGATTACAAACTCTGCCCAGACAGCACATGGCGGGTGCCAAGCAGCGCGTTCCCCGGACCAGCCTTATCCCGGATCGTCCGGTTGCCAATACATTGTTGCAGGTCGTCGATGTGCCGTTAGACGCTTAGAGCGGGGGTGCGCAATTCGGCGGGAAATGGGAACCCGTTTTGCTCGCGCAAGGCATCGCTATCGTGCTCCATCCACGCGCCGTTGCCTTTCTTGAGGAAGGCAGACTTGGCCAAAAGCTTTTTCCCTCCCTTGGCCAGATGCCGTTCCCGCGCGGCTCTGGGAAACCAGCGTCCGCAGCCGCGACTGAGGCCGCGGCGTCCCAATCCCATCATGCCTTGGTAATTTCTTCGAGCACCGAGAAGAAGAAGAAGACCTGGAAGGCGAGAAAGAGGAGAGGAGAACGGGGGAGGGGAGCAGGGCAAGGAACGGTGGAGAAAAAGGGGGGATGAGGGGAGGGGGAAGGTGACCGTGATGCGGAGGCACGGGGCAGAGGATGGGGAGGTGGGGCGAGAAGCGGACAGGAGGGGGGAAGACCGCAGGAGGGTTAGAGGGTGGGAGTCTAGGCTTCCCAGATGGGATCCGAGTAGATGGGGTCGGGGGATCGCGCCGCATCGCCGATGCATCGGCGATGGGGCGAGATGCGGAGCCCGATTTCGCCGATGCACCGCCGGGGTCGCCGATGCATCGCCGATGCACCGTCGAGGTGTCGGTGATGCACCGGCGATGCAGCGCAATCCTCCGACCCCACTTACTCGGACCCCATCCGGGAGGCGTTTAGTACAGTCGGCCCGGATTAGTCGCGACCCGCGCCTCCTGCATTCCTGTGGCAACGTGGCCCTCGGGTCCTTTGTCCTTTCGCGTGTCCTCTCAAATCAGGTCCGACTGGTACAGGGTCCGGCTTGAATCAGGAACACTCACTTTTCAGCAGGGGCTCAGTCGTTCCCTTGGTTTGCATGCGTTCCGTTACCTTTTTTGGCGGCGAGCCCCCCTGGTCTTCTTTCGGGCTCCCTAGATATATTTTGGAAGAAAAGGGGCTTCGTTCCTTATCTATCGTTCCTTGGGTCAGGCCGAATATTGTACCGAATCGGACTGGGGGAGCCGGAGCACCAGCAGCGAGGCGAGGGCCAGGAGGCCTGCGGCCCCTCCCGGCCGAGCCCCGGCCCCGCGGGGCGCGAGACCGCGGGCCGGTCGCCGGCGGCGCCAGGGCGAGTGGGGCGACGACGTGGAGATCGAGGCGCCGGCAGCGTGCCGTGGGGAGGAGGAGGAATTGGAGGAGGAGGAGGAAGAGCATGAGGAGGAGGAGGAGGAGGAAGAGGAGGAGGAGGAAGAGGAGGGGGAGGATGAGGAGCAAGAGGAGGAGGAGGAGGAGGAGGAGGAGGAGGAGGAGGAGGATCAGGAGGGAGGAGGAGGAGGAGGAGGAGGACGACGACGAAAGGGGGGGATAGGGAAAAGGGGGGGTACGAAATCTGCTGCATGCAGCTGGGTTCGGCCCCACCGGGGGGCCTATTCCTCGATACATGGCCGCCTCCGGCGCCGGGAGGCGCCGGGAAAATCAGCTACGCGAGCTGTTTCTCAATTCCGCCCTTTGCTATCCCCCCCTTTCGCCCGACCCGAGAGGAGCAAGAGGAGGAACAACGTTGAGCGGAGGGGGAGGGGGATCGGGAGGGGGACGAGGGGAGGAGGGGGGGAAGGAGAGAGAGGGCAAGCTAGGTGCGCTGGCGCCATATCTGACATCATACCCCTCCCACCTATCCCTCCCCATTGCGCTGATGTTATCTCTATCCGCGGACGCGTGTCATAGCTGACTTGGAACTCATAAACAAACCCCATCCTGCTATACGCAATCGGGCGGGGGCAGTTTTGTACCTAAGAGGAGGAGGAGGAGCAGGATGAGGAGGAGCAGGAGGAAAAGGAGGAGAAGGAGAATGAGGAAGGAGGATGATGATGAGAACGTACAGCAGCAGGAATTTGAATGGAAGGAGCGGGAGGAACAGGAGGACCAGGGGACGGCGGAGGCGGGGAAAGGAGGGGGGCGACAACTATGAGAACGATTCGGACCCAGAACAGCAGCCCGCACTTGGTCCAGAGCGCTGTTTTGAACGACGGGAGCAAAGCCCCGATCCTACCTAAAATGAGGCATAGGAAGCATGCAATAAACAATTGCTCTGCACTGTTCATGTGTCGAGGGGGGAAAGGGTAAGGAGAGAGGAGGAGAAGGAGGATGGGGAGGTGGAGGGGAGGATGATGGGGATGATGAGGGTTAAAAAGACAGAGCAGGAAGAGGAAGGATAAGGAAGGACGAAGGAAGATAAGAGAGGTGGTGGAGAAGGAGGACGATGAGGAGGAAGGAAGATGAGGAATGTGAAAGAGGGAGGAGGACGGAGGAGGGAGAGGGAGAGGGAAGAGAAGGGGAGGACGATGACGTGGAAGGAGGGAGAGGGCACATGTGAAGGCAGGAAGGAGGGAGGAGGAAGAGAAGGATAGGAAAAGGAGGAGGAGGAATACTCATACTACTAGTTTTGCGTAGCACTAATAATCCGAACGCTCATGGTTATCCCACTACGAACCATAAGAACATGATTGATGCTACTCACGGTGACCAAGACAATAGTACTCATAGTAGTAGTAGTGGTAGTCGTCGTCGTCGTCGTCGTCGTCGTCGTCGTCGTCGTCGTAGTAGTAGTAGTAGTAGTAGTAGTAGTAGTAGTCGTAGCTGTAGTAGCTGTAGTAGTAGTAGTAGTAGCAGTAGCAGTAGTAGTTGTAGTATTAGTGGTAGTAGTAGTAGTAGTAGTAGTAGTAGTAGTAGTAGTACTAGTAGTAGTAGTAGCAGTAGTAGTAGTAGTAGTAGTAGTCGTAGTAGTAGTAGTAGTAGTAGTAATAGTCGTAGTCGTAGTCGTAGTAGTAGTAGTAGTAGTAGTAGTAGTAGTAGTAGTAGTAGTAGTAGTAGTAGTAGTAGTAGTAGTAGTAGTAGTAGTAGTAGTAGTAGTAGTAGTAGTAGTAGTAGTAGTAGTAGTAGTAGTAGTAGTAGTAGTAGTAGTAGCAGTAGTAGTAGTAGTAGTAGTAGTAGTAGTAGTAGTCGTAGTCGTAGTCGTAGTGTCGTAGTAGTGTCGTAAGTGTCGTAGTGTCGTAGTAGTAGTTAGTAGTAGTAGTAGTAGTAGTCGTAGTAGTCGTAGGAGTCGTAGTCGTAGGTCGTCGTCGTGTCGTAGTCGCAGTCGTAGTCGTCGTAGTAGTGTAGTCGTAGCAGTAGTAGAGTAGTCGTAGTAGTAGTAGTAGTAGTAGTCGTAGTAGTCGTAGTCGTAGTAGTAGTAGTAGTAGTAGTAAGTAATAGTAGTAGTAGTAGTAGTAGTAGTAGTAGTAGTAGTAGTAGTAGGTAGTAGTCGTAGTAGTAATAGTAGTAGTAGTAGTGGTAGTGGTGGTGTCAGTAGTAGTAGTAGTAGTAGTAGTAGTAGTAGTAGTAGTAGTAGTAGTAGTAGTCGTAGTCGTAGTCGTAGTAGTAGTAGTAGTAGTAGTAGTAGTAGTAGTAGTAGTAGTAGTCGTAGTAGTAGTAGTAGTAGTAGCAGTAGTAGTAGGTAGTAGTAGTAGTAGTAGTAGTAGTAGTAGTAGTAGTAGTAGTAGTAGTAGTAGTAGTAGTAGTAGTAGTAGCAGTAGTAGTAGTCGTCGTAGTCGCAGGAGTAGGAGTAGGAGTAGGAGTAGCAGTATGAGGAGTATTAGCAACGCCCCTACGAGTAATCAGTACCATCACCATCAGCATAGCCATATTTCTATTGGTTATACTCGTATCTCGACTGCTAAAGGAAGTAATCGCCCAAGCAATACTAGTAATACTACGCCTCAGAAAAATACTAATACGAATACGAAGCATACACAGCTTGAGAGTGGGCCCAGGTAAGCGCCAGGAGGAGGAGAGGAGGAAAGGAGGAGAGGAGGAGGAGGAGGAGAACGGAGGGGGAGAGGGAACGAGGAAGTGAGAGGGCGGGAGGGCGGACAGGAGGAGGAGGAGGAAACGGGGGAGAGGGGAAGTCCTAGCGACAGAGGCCGAGAGGAGTAAGGAGGGAAAGTAGAGCGATTGTTATATTGCCGTTGCTCGATCTCCCTGGCTGTCCAAGTTACGTGCCTCAGTGCTGCAGGCAAACGCAACTATCTGGGGCGGCAGCGCCGTAGCTTGTCGGAAACTGGGGCGGGGCAGCGCCAGGCTGTGTCCGAGATCTACGACTGCCGAGTGGAGATCTACGCTCCGTACAACCAGGCATTCCTTAGTTTGCCGTGTCCGTGCCGCCCGCTTCCCTTGTCCGTCCATGTTTATTTGAGGTCTCATGCGCCATCCCATGACCGTCTCCTCCTCCTCCTCCTCCTCCCTCCCTCCCTCCCTCCCTCCCTCCCTCCTCCTCCTCCTCCTCCTCCTCCTCCTCCTCCTCCTCCACTTCTTCTTTCTCCTCCTCCGCCTCCCTTCCCCCTCCCCTCCTCCTCCTTTCTCTCCTCTTTCTCCTCCTCCTCCTCCTCATCCTCATCCTCATCCTCATCCTCATCCTCCTCCCTCTGCTCCTCCTCCTCCTCCTCCTCCACTTCTTCCTCCGTCCGTAGCCACTTTGGTTCAAGCCCTTTCTGGTCCGAGTCGGGTCTGCAGGGGTAGAAACATTGGGAAGGGTTATTTCTCTCCTGCGGGCCAAGCCTTGGCTTCTGGACTATAAACGGTTACTGCGGCCCGGTTGACCTTACATCCGTCACGGCGCCGCCATGTCGCGCCGCCTCGTTGCTGACCCTTGGCGCTGCAAGAAGTGCGCCACGAGGGACGGCACGCCGTGGATCAACCGAGGCGACCTCAAGGAGTGCTCCGCAGCCTACATAAAGGAGTCTGCTACGGTGGTCCCGAAACGCCCAAAGGGAGTCTTGCGACCAAGTCCACGGGCTCACCTAAGGCATCCAAAGATCAGTCCGACACCGCTTCCATGGCCAAGCAGCTTGCCGACCTCCAGGCCATGGTCAAGAAGCTTACGGTCGCCAAGTCGCCTCTTCCTTGGGCTGCTGTTGCTGGGGGGAGTGCTTCTGCCGCTGGAGCGGGCGTCGGGTTGGACAGTGGGCACCCCCATGGGGCTCCCACTGGTAATAACGGAGGCACTGCTCACCCATCAGCGAAGCAGGTCAACCGTGACCGCATCAAGAAGATCAATGAGCTCCTTAAGGTCTACGACGGATCCTCCGTGGCCTCTGGCTTGGCGCAGGTCAAGTCCCTCACCGAAGAGAAGGAGCGTTTGGGCAAGGAGCTCGATGCCGAGCGCCCCTTGGAGGACCAGGTCGCCTCCCTCACCACGAAGTTGCGGAACTCCCTCCCGTGCCAAGGCCAAGCGCCTTCGCGAGGAGCACGTTCAGAAGCAGCTGGTCATCGACGAGCTGGTTGCCAAGCGAACGGTGCTCCAGGACTCCCTGGCCGAGGCAGACGCCGAAGCCGCGCGGCTGGAGGAGGAGGTCCAGCGTTTGGGCGCCGACCGAGCCCCTCCGCCCACGGCTGGAAAGCTTACGCTCCACGAGCTGCTGCCGAAGTTCTCGGCCCCCGTCCAGCAGCTTGGCGAGTTGGCCGTGGAGCTCGGCCTGGGCCCCAGCCTTCAGGCACAGCTGGGGACGGCGGCCAAAGTTTCCGGGAAGCTCCATGAGCTTCCCGAGGCGATGCCGCTGGCGGCACAGGTGGCCGCTGTTGCCCCTGCTCCCGCGACCCCTGCTGGAGATGAAGGAGGAAGAGCTCCTTCCACCCCCTCTCCCGCGAGCCAGGTGCAGGTCCTCGCTGAGGAAGCCGCCAGAGACGACATGGATATCGACATCGACCTTATGGACTCCGCCGAGCTGAGGGAGGCGTTGGAGGCTGCAGGACTCACGCAGCCTGACGACGCCACCGACGCGGACATGCGGGTGGCGTGCAAGCGTGTCCATGACTCCTTTACGCACGCGGCTACGGCGCGCAAGAGGAAGAAGAAGGCTCGATCAGCCCCTTTCTGAGGGCAGCGCTTGCCAGCGCGACCACGCGGATGGCACGCGCCATGCACAGGCCATTCGGCGCGCGCGTGCAATGCGCCACCCTGTTATCACGGGATGTGCGGCCATCGAGCTGACAGGAAGTCCCATGGATGGAATGTCAGTTGTGGCCCCCTGCGCACTGGCAGCACGTACCATGTCACATGTCACACCCGGCTGGGGATTTCCTGGCAGGAAGTACCACGTGGTTACGTGGGGCGCCCACGGGGCAGCACGTGCGCACACGCTGCTGCCAGGGTGGGCCCTGGTTCCATGGGTCCGCCTCCACTTAGCGAAGGGCACAGAGCGTCTCCAACCAGAGGCCACTCTTGCCCCAGCCCTTCCGTCGACCTGCACGTTCGTCCACTCGTCTTCACCGCGTGTGGCGCGCCCGCGAGGATAGACCTTCATGCTGCTCTGGTGCCTGTTCATGACCCAGTTTGAGGTGGGGTCTGCCGGTGCCCCCGACAGCAGTTGAGCAGCAAGCCCCCGACAGGTCAGCCACAGAAGTTGTCCAAATTCTGTGGCTGACCAGTCCGCGGGCGCGCTTCTATTGGCGGTTAGGACCACCTCGGTGCCGAGCTGGTGGCTGGGCGCCTGGGTGCAGGATCCCAGCGCGGCCATGCCTGACGCTGTCGACGCGCGCCGTCAGGTGGCGGCCAAGCTGGTCACGGTTAACCCCGGATCTCATGGGCCACTGATCAACCTCCCGCCGTACTTCTGCGGCGAGGTCGGTATGGTCTAGGAGGCGCGGGTGGCCGACCAGCGGCTCGGGGCTGGTCAATCCGCTGTGCGCGATGCAGGTTGGCACGGCCTCTGGGCCCCCGCCGAGGAGACGGGGGGGGCGTCCGCGGCGTCGTGCCCCAGTGGGGTTTGCGTGCTCGCGCCTACCAACGCGATGGTCACGATGCCCCCTGATAGGGGGTCATGTCGTTTTCCCCATCATGCTGCGGCAGCTCATGTCCACTGGGGCGTCCCTGGCGGTCTGATTGTCGTCGGCGCGCACATGGTTCAGGGCGTCGGCGTCACCGGGGCCAACCTCTCGATCCTATGGGCGCTTGCGAAGCGCGTGGCGGCCTGGAACGCACGCGGCCTCGACTGGACCATCGGGGGCGAATGGAAGGCCGAAGGCCGACGACCAGAGCATCAACATTGGCGACTGGGTTGGGTCTTTGGCAGGCGCACCTCCAGCCGTCGGCCCCCGCGCGCGTCGCCTCCAACGGGGTGTCCACCATCGACTACTTCTTGGTGGCCAGCAATCTCGCGCCCCGTGTCTCTCGCCAGCCCGAGGTGATACATGGATGCGGGAGCATTCCCAGACCTCACTACCCAGTGGGGCTGGAGCTGCATGGGAAGGACGCGCCGACGCAGTGCCGCGTCCCTGATGAGCCTCGACCGCTGCTTGCTGCACCCCCTGTTGGCTGTGCTCGTTCCCGCTTTCTTTGACGCGCGTTGGATGGCCCCGTTACGCGGGCAGCCCCTGCGCCGCAAAGGGTCACTGGCGCGGGCCAAGCCCAGTCCAGGCCCGATCGGGACCGACGCAGGCCCGTCGATCAATCAGGCCCACTGGGCAAATCGAAGCGCGATCGATCGAGACGCGCGGGCCAACCTTACCGCCGTCGGACCTGGGTCCATGGTCAGGCCGTCGGCAAGGTCGGTACACCTGATGATGTCTTGCAGCAGCTCTGGCACTCCGTCCTGCAGGGCGTTGACTACCGGATCGCAGGCAGGCGCGACAAAGTTGGCCCTGGAGCCAAACGCTTCGTCGGGCACCACGGCCCCCCCAAGGCGAAGTGGCGGCAGTTGCGGTGGGGGCCACCTCGCAAGCGCCTGTGCCGCGACCTTTCAGGCTGGGCTTGTGCTACCGCGGCACGCTGGGCGACTCGCCTTCGTGTCGAGCGTGATCGGGTCCAGCGGTTTTTTTCACCGGTTGAATGCGGTGGTGGCGCATGCGTCTCCAGCTCCCAGGCAGCTGCAGAAGACTGCCAGCGTCTTCTACGACATCCTCTGCTTCCTACGCTCCATTGTCGGGCAGGACAAAGTCCTCACCAATATCGACCCCTGCTACTGCCAGTTCTTCCTGCGCAGGCTGGACCGGCTGATTGCGGGGGCTTTGGTGACATGGTAGATGCTATCGTGGGCCGCGCGGAGGCCCTCACTGCCGCGGCTCGCGGCGCGTCGGAGAGAGCCCAGGCGGCCTTCAATGGGGGAGCGAAGGCTGCCCGCGCTGCATCAAAGTTCAGGGCGCAGCAAGAACTCGTTGCCCCTGGGGCCGATGCCCAGCCATGCATCCTCGCAGACCGCACCACGTGCGAGTTGAAGCGGATCTGGGAAACCCATGGGCTGGAAGAGCTGCCTCCACCCACGGATGCACCTACTTGGGAAGGGCTGCCTACCCTGACAATCCACAACCTACGGCAGACCATCCAATCATTCTCTCTCGCCACCGCCTCGGGGCCCACCCGCATTCCACCGATGGCGCTTGAGCACTTACCAGATGAGGCTCTCAGGAGGTTGGCCAAGAGGTTCGACCTTCTGAGTAGCACTTACGGTTTTCCTATGACCGCCTGCATAGTGAGATGGCCCGATTCCATAAGCCAGATGGCGGCCACAGGTTAATTGTGCTTAGCCATGCTCTCATACGAATTTGGGCGAAGGCACGCCGATGGCTGTCGGCAGAGTGGCAGCGGCTGCACAACTGCGACGAGATGTGGGGTGCTCGAGGCAGCCACACATCCACGGCCTCGGCTTTCGCCCACAATTTGGAGCAAGAGGTGGGAAGCCTCGTAGGCGACCACACATGCACCATCCTCCTTGACATTGTGAAATGTTTCGACATGGTGAGCCCCCATGCGCTCATGCGGGAGGCACGGGAGCTGGGTTACCCGATACGCTTGCTATGGATGTTGCTGCAGCTCTACCAGAAGCCACGGCGCACCAAGGCGTACGGCCTTCGTCGCCGTTCAGGGGGTGCTGGCGGGGTGCACACATGCCACCTACCTCATCTATTTGCTGACGTACCG